CCCTTGTGCCTTTTATGGTGTGGCCGGGGCGGGGGGGAGATGTCCCCTGCCTCTGTGTAGAGGGGGCGTGTGAAGGGAGAGCGTCCTGCTGGGTCCCGCCCCGGGGTCGGGAGCGTGTCAGGTCTCTTCACACACGCGTGTGCCTATTGGGCCATGGCCCCTGGGTGTCACGCAGCTGGAGCCACCTGCCCAAGGGTGGCATGGCACGTGCTCGCATGTGCACAGGTGGCTGCGTGATCCGTGGGAGGCATGGCCCACACGCGTGGTCCTTGGTCTCCCTCCCTGCCTCCCCCCCTCTCCCCCCCGGGCAGGGGACAGTGCTGGCACTTACCCGGTATGGCCTCCATGGATGACCCTGCTGACTCCGGGGCCGGAACAGCTGGCGGTGGCCCCTCTGGTGTGCCCTGCTCCTAACCCTCCCACTGTGTTGTTACATAACTGTTACACTTTACTTTCTGCAGGAGACAAGGAGTCACCCCCCACAGTGGAGGAGACCAGGCCTTGCACCACCAAGGTTGAGCAGTCTCCTGCCACCACTGCGAGGAGGAAACGTAGGGTAGTGGTGGTTGGAGACTCTCTTCTGAGGGGAACGGAGGCACCCATCTGTCACCCTGACAGTTCATCTCGAGAGGTATGCTGTCTGCCAGGGGCCCGTATCCGAGATGTTACGGAGGCATTGTCGAGGATTATCCGGCCCTCTGACTACTACCCCATGCTACTCATCCACGTGGGCACAAATGATACTGCCAGGTGTGACACTGAGCGGATCAAGTGTGACTACAGGGCTTTGGGAGTACGGATGAGGGAATTTGGAGCGCAGGTGGTATTCTCTTCTTTCCTTCCTGTCAAAGGTAGGGGCCCGGGCAGAGAGAGGTGCATCCTGGAGGTGAATGCCTGGCTGCGACGATGGTGTCGCCAGGAGGGATTCGGCTTCCTTGATCACGGGGTGCTCTTCCAGGAAGGACTGCTTGGCGGAGATGGAGTTCACCTTTCCAGGAGCGGGAAGGCCTTGTTTGGACACAGACTGGCTAACCTTGTGAGGAGGGCTTTAAACTAGGTTTGTCGGGGGCAGGTGAGCAAAGCCCACAGGTAAGTGCTGAATGTGCGGGACTGGGAGATGGGTTGGAAATGGGGGGGACTACGGCCTATAATGGCAAGGAGAAAGGAGGGTCAGGGCACAACAGGGAGGCAAGATCAAATCAGTATCTTAGATGCCTATATACAAATGCGAGAAGTATGGGTAATAAGCAGGAAGAACTGGAATTGCTAACCAATAAATACAACTATGATATCATTGGTATTACAGAAACCTGGTGGGATGGGACGCACGATTGGAATGTTGGTATGGAAGGGTACGGCTTGCTCAGGAAGGACAGACAGGGAAAAAAGGGAGGAGGGGTTGCCTTGTATATTAAAAATGTACACACTTGGACTGAAGTGGAGATGAACGTAGGAGATAGCTGTGTAGAGAGTCTCTGGGTTAAGCTAAAAGGGGTAAAAAACGAGGGTGATATCATGCTAGGAGTCTACTACAGGCCACCTAGCCAGGTGGAAGAGGTGGATGAGGCCTTTTTTAAACAATTAACAAAACTATCCAAAGCCCAAGATTTGGTGGTGATGGGGGACTTCAACTATCCAGACATATGTTGGGAAACTAACACAGCGAGGCACAGGCTATCCAATAAGTTTCTGGACTGCATTGGAAGGGAGGGGTTAGTGTGATAGCAACATGAGTGTCTCTGTTCAGGCATGTGCATGCTTTGGTGGCATAATTTTTTAATATTTATAGAATAAAATATTCAATAATGATCATATACTAGAGAGGTGACTGTATTAAATCCATCTACTTTAACATCACTAGTCATTTTTAATTTCAAACTAGGTTTTTTAATAAGAAAGATTTTGTAAATAATGTGTTGTGATAGCAACATGAGTGTCTCTGTTCAGGCATGTGCATGCTTTGGTGGCATAATTTTTTAATATTTATAGAATAAAATATTCAATAATGATCATATACTAGAGAGGTGACTGTATTAAATCCATCTACTTTAACATCACTAGTCATTTTTAATTTCAAACTAGGTTTTTTAATAAGAAAGATTTTGTAAATAATGTGTGATTGAGGATACCGGGTTTTTTTTTTCTGAAATGAACATGTACATGTAACATCATAAGTATAGACTTGTTTTCCATAGTTCCCTTCATTTGACCAAATATTTAGCTGAAGAAAAAATTTAAACATTTTTCTGGCTGATAGGGCAGATTAGCACTGCAGCTTTTATGAAACTTGAAATAAAGTCACTTTGCAGTTATATTTATTTCCCAGTACACACAGTGCATGTGGTACTTTGTTCTTTCCATGTAACTATTGCCCATGTAATTTTATAAGACTAGATCGGGGTCTCAAACTCAATTTACCTTACAGCCAGTGCCAGTCCCCAAATCCTCCTAGTGGGCCAGTGGGCACTCCTCTCTGGAGTCTACACGCGGCACGGTGTTCGGACTAACGGGGATTTAAAAATGGTGGCGCCTGGGAACATGCAAATGAAGCCTGGGATATTTAAATCCCCGGCTTCATTTGCAACTCTGCTTGCCCTCATTACCCTACCTAGCTCGAACTAACGAGCTAGTGTAGACGTAGCCTGAGGTACTATTCAGTGTAAGATTATAAAACTCATCCCACAGTAAAATCATGTAGAGGCATGATATATGCATGGCTAATTCTGTCTTCTAAAGCAATCACTGTATGATAGTTAAGTTTCTAATTACCTTTTCCTTTAAATGAAAGAGTAAGTAACATTGTCTAGTGCAGGGGATTGGAAACCTGCAGCAGCCATGCCATAA